AAAAAAAAGAAAAAGTTTAAGAAAGTATTTGTATAAGTGTGGTGAAGCTTTATAAAATGTGTTAAGTTCTTACTTACATATCAGTAAATGCTATAATGTGGATCAAACCGAATGAAGGTTTTGCTCGCTGTTTTTATAGTCAAACTAAAATACTGTGTTTGAACAGCTTTGTCTTCGCAATTCATTATCCGTACTTGAAAAAGAGAAGAGCCAAATTGTTACTTGGTAAATAATAATATTTAGTATTTTTTGGCGCTTACACTTTTGCTAGGTGTTTGGCCTAGCTTGTGCTCCCATTTGTGGTGTGCGTACTGATGGTATAACAAGAAATGAAGAGAATTACAATTTTACACCATCTCCGACCGGTAAATGGTTTGAAAAAACAAAAATTTTTTCTAATTAAGATGTTTCACGGACTAGGAATCGAACCCAGGTCTTACGGAGCGGTAGTACGATCCTCTAACCACTCAGCTCAGCGGCGATAATAGTTTCCTCTCCGAATATTGCCAAAAATTTAAATAAGTATGTACAAATGTATGTGAAAGAGTTGTATAGAAGAGCAAAAAACTTATAATACATAGTTTCTTGGAGAGCAGCCTTTCTTAAGCTAACAAATAAACTCACCAAGCCATTCTTGTCTGATGGATCATAGCGCTTAACAGCGTGAATATTTAAGAAAGAAGAGAGTGGAATACGAAAACAACATGTTTTTTTTTTCAAAATACTAAAAAAACTTTATGTGGAAGAGTACAACTGTGGAAGAGCAACAAACTTGCAACAATAATCAACTTCCGAGACTATAAGTAAAAGCTCCGCTAGGGTACGCTACCCGGCGACCTTCGTCTCGCCCAAAGTTAATTTTTTGAGGAAACATTTTGGTACAACACTTTCATCAATTATTCACTTAAAGACTTCCAGTGGCACACTTATCTGCTTTTATGGTTTTATGGTTTTGTGGTCGTCAAAAGGCATAACTTCCATTGCCATTTTAAATAGCCTAACCAAAGCGTTATGTCCATGACGAAGTTCTGAGTTTCGCCCGAAATTTATTCATGCGTCCGTAGTGAAACGAAAAGTGAAAAGTGAACCTGTTCGCGCAAAATGAAACTCATGATAAGGTTGATTTTTAAACAAAATGCCATCATACATTTTTCATGTCCGGCACCTATAATTGAAATCGGTTATAATTTGCAACACAATCTAACCTAATCTAGCCAACATAATTGTTTAGCAGTGATAAAATTTTGAACCTGGGCAAACATTTCAATTGCAATATTTATTACGATCAAAATTAAGGAAATAAAAAATTTCGAGTTCAAAATTTATGGAAAATCAAAAATTTTTTCCAATTTTCCTTGGTAGGAGACAAAAACAACAAAAAGACAGCTCACATATGTAGGACAATCCATTCTAGAACTATGCTCGGTATAACGTAAGCAACTTTGTTTGTGTATAGATATAAATTTTTACATAGTTGGCAACCCTCTTCAAATTATTACTTCTGGTTAAGACTGCATTTAAATGCCTTTTATTCCCTGAACAATTTAGTATATATATATTTAAGTCCAAAAAATTAAAAAGTTTTAATTTTTGCATCTATATGAGCTTTCCCCACTCATTTAATTTGACAGAAAAATACCTTTTAGAAATATGTATATAGGTTTGTAAACAAAAAAGACACAGAAAAGCTAGGCGCCGCTTTTCAAAGAAACACTTACATATGTATTCTGGCATATCGCTACCTAAAGGTGAAAAGGTGGCAAGTCCATTTTTTTTCAATTTAGTTTTTGATGCAGAATGGCAGGTAATACAAAACTAAATCGGTTTTTCGTCTCTTCTGAACAATTTCAAAATATGGACTTGGCACCTTTCCCCCTTAGGTAACGATAGGATTTTCTGTTGACTTAAAACTTTTTTACTTTTAATATCTAATATACCAAAACAAAAGGCTGCGTGTGCATTTCACGCAAGACTGAAGTGAAATTTATTCTTTCTATTACCCATAAACCTCACCATATTTTATGTACGAGTACTTTTCTACACAATCGGGAGCAATTATCTTAATTTTAATCTCAGTCTAAATCTCAATTTTAATCTTAATTTACAAATTAATCTTCATCTTTATTATTAACTTCATTATTATCTTTATCTTAATCTTAATTTCTAGCTTAATCTTAATCATATACTTAATCCTAATATTTAGCTTAGTCATAAACTAAGTCTTAATCGTATGCTTAATTTTAATCTTTATCTTAATCTCATCTTAATCTAATCTCCATCTTAGTCTCAATCTTAACCTTAATCCGAATCGTAATCTTAACCTTAACATTAATCTTAACCTAAATCTTAATCTTAATCTTAATCTTAATGTTATCTTAATCTAATCTTAATTTTAATATTAATCATAATCTTAGTTTCAATCGTCATCTAAATCTTATTATTAATCTTAATCCCAATCTCAATTTTAGATCAACTTCAATCTGAATCTTAAGCGATTTATCTTAATCTTAATTAAAATCTTAGTTTTAATCTTATTCAATAGAAAGTATAAAGTTATCTGACAAGATCAAATACTTGGGTTTGGTCCTTGACAAAAAATTGTCGTGGAGCCCAAATTTCGAGAAGAGGCAAGGAGGGCATCAGTGGCCTTATACTGCTCTAGGGGAGCTATTGGAACGAGGTGGTGTGTTTTGCCCAAGGCTGTATATTCGCTCTACGAGACTTATTATGTTTTATGGCGCCCTAATTTGGTGGAACTTACTGGAAGGTGATCTTGAAATGTTATCGCCGGATAGAGGGCGGCTGGGTGTACCATTGATCACAAGTTGTGCACACTTCGAAAGATGAGCCTCATGTCAACTCAGTAAGCGCTGAGAGAAAACTAGGACATGCAAGGTCATTCTGGTTGTCGGTAGACAGGGGGCTGTCACTCTTGACGGGGATTTTTACGTGTCACTGACCAATCGGTATTCACGCAATAAAGCTGAACATATTGACTGATGCCGTATAGCACAGTTGTCCGGAAGATGATGAGGTGATACTACACTACACTACTGATCGACACTACCTTCTTAAGTGCCTAGCGTTTGCGAGGCTAGGGTTGAAGTACTTTGGCTATTTTTAATAGCCCCGAGGAGCTCTGGTGCTTAAAGATCAGCTTCATAATTACATAATAGGATCGAGGCATTTTATCGATTAAGCATTAGGTGCCGGATAGCATGTGGTATCATAAAGGACAATCTCCTAATTGTCTAGGTGAATCCCTGACGTATGGGGCTGCCACCTAACCTAACTAAAAGCGCGGGATTTACACCAAGACATCTTTTGCCAGCTACCTTTTAAAGCTCTTGGTGCCGGTTTTCAAAAAGCAAGCTTTTTATTTAGAACACATTTGCGAATTACTGAAGTAGCTTGTTTACTTTAATATTTACCGATTTTTTGGTTTTTCGCGGATTATTCTCTAAGCTCCCACTTTTATGTTGATTCACTTCAATGCCCCTCTCACTTTTTAATTTCACTTAAAGCGTAACGTGACTTTAGGATACAAAATTAAACCAACACAAATTAGTAAACTCTTATTTGTTGCATATACGAGTACTCGTAAAAAGTTTATTCTTAGAGAAAAAAATATGAACTTCCAACGAGAAAATGTATTTGTGCGCAATTAGGCGACTGGTGCGAAACCAATACGATTGTTGCCCATATCGAATTCGGAATAGTAGAGACCAAGGAAAATATCCCCCAAGATCCAGAAATCAGTTCCAATGTAGCTGATGGCAGAGTAGCAAGTCTCTGAATCCTCCTGAATAATGTATTGTGATGCTGGCACAGCGAAACTCTTACCACTTATAACAAATTCTATGTCACCCAGAGAGCTGATGAGCGAGCAATCGACGTAACCATCGCTGTCGCTATTAACAATGTTAGCGAATTTATTGTAGGCACTTAAGGGAGCAATAATGAGCGAGGTGCCTGTGTCAGCGATGGCTTGGCAACCGTTACTGCAAAGGGTCTTACCACCAAGGGTGGCTCCGCCCAAGCTAAATTGCCAGTAGCCTTGCTCTGAGACCGGCACGTAGGTGAGTGATCCGTTGTAGTAGCTGGAATCGGAGCCGCCTAAGATCAATTCACCACCTTTGCTGGAACTAGTATCGCGTGCCAAGTAGAAAGAGAATACGTTGTTGCTCACCAGACCTTGAGACCAAATGTTGTAGAATGGTGGCACAACGTCGTCGCTGGCGATATCTTCGTAGGCCAAGCCAAAAATACCATCGAAATTCGAATCAACAAAAGTAGAGCTGGGCTCGCTGGTGGCTTCAGCAAATACTTGATTTTGTATGGTTAGACCAGATACTCTCACTGTGTCCTCTGACAGATAACCAGATAAACTACCAGAGCCATATTCGATGGAGAAACTTTCGCCATTAGCCACATAAGTGCTGGAAGCGCTCGCCTTATATTTGTTGTGTTTTTGACAAGCTTTGTTGCTGCTGGGGCAGGTGGATGATGGTATCCACAGATTTGAGGAACCGGTATCGAAAAGTACCACGAATTCTTGTGCCGGTGTGCCAATGGTGATTTTGCCGTAGTATGCCACGTTGTAATCATTGGTCAATTCCTCGGCAGCAGTGTTTGTAGCAAAGCTGATACCATATTTGGTGCCCAAGAAAGTTGCTTGGTTTTTCACGAATTCGATACTCTTGCTATGATTGGCATTCTTGTAGACCGGGACGCGTATCAGATTAGCCGAGGCCAAGGCAACACAAATGGCAAAGAATACGAAGAACTTTAACATTTTGGCTGTAAGATCAAAAAAGGAATATGTTTAAGTAAAAAGATGGTTATGTGTCCTTAAGCCGATGAATTAGCTTCTTACTTTCAGTAAGTGGTTTAATGTGGATCACACTGAATGAAGGTTTTTCACCCCGCTTTTATACTGAAACTGAGATGGTTTGTTTGAACAGCTTTGTATTCGCAATTCATTGCTTTTTTTTACGAATATCTTAAGCTAATAAATAAACTCACCAAAGACTTTCTTTGCTCACGCGTCATATAGCGGGACAATTTTTTACTTTGTTTTTTATTTGTAGGCTTTGGCCCTCAACACAACAACGGCTTTATATCAATACTTGAAAAATTGGAGCGTGTAAATGGGATTTTTATAAATTTAGTAGGCTGAGAGTACTTTAAAAATCTTCTTCCCGAAAAGTTCCGTATGTTATTTGAAAGAGCAGAAGTATTTTATAAAGTGATGCTCAAAACATAAGGAACTAAATAAAATAAAGTTACTTCTTTTCAAGGGATTGTTGTTTGTATCAAGTTTGAGTAAATTAGCGTCCTTAAATTTCGAAATATTGAAATTTCAAGTATTTCTGAAATTTACTATTATATGAAAAGTGGCCGTAATTTTAGTCCGATTTCAATAATTTTCGACGTTTTGCTTTTACGTGGCCATACCGGGTTTGGTACAAATTGGTAGAAAGGTTATCGAGATACAAATAAGTGATCATAAGTGGGCGGTGGGACGCCCATTTTCCAAAATTTTACCATAAACGTATTTCTTGGTAAAGAATTGTTGCAAGCATCAATTGTGAATAAATTAGTTTTAATATTTACTGATTTATCGAAGATTTCGTATTTCTCTAAATTACCGTTATATGGGATGTGGGCGTGGTTATTGTTCGATTTTCAACATCTTTTTGCGTAATTTCACGAAAGGAATTTTTCGAACAATTGAAAAATCACACCAAACATTGGGAGAAAGAAGAATATTTACACCTGTGTAATTTTTCAGTCAACCCTTTGTT